TAACTTAAATTGTGCAAGCAAACGTAAATATGATAGTCAGCCTAAAATACAAAAAATAAACCCGCATTTATGAAGGTACTTGGAAATTTGTCTGATAAGCAGCCTTGATGATTTTAAATGCTAGTCAAAGACAGATCGATCGATACTTCTAGAATTGCAAGTACACCATACCTGTGATCACAAATTATAGAGGAAAAGAACCGCTGAGAATTTTAATCCTTGAAAGGGGAAATCAATGGAAGTAAGACAGCAACCAAGAGCTCCTCTCAGGAATGGGAGATGCTCAAGTTTGACTATCAGAATGATTTTTCCAGTGATTTACAAAAGATAATTAAAGAATTGAAGCAAAATTGACGCTGAAGTGAACCAAGTTTGGTAATTTGATGAGGTTCTTTATAAGGCCTGTCAGTCTATTTACCTAACAAAGATTATTCGGTTATTAGAGAATCTAGGATTATATAGGTTTTTAAACGACGAAAAAGGAAACAAATACATACATCATGGCTTGGCTCTTCTCCAGAAGGCATTATAGAGGTAGAAAAACAAAAAAGTGTATTTAATGAGATAAAATTTCCTTTCCTGGGAGTCATGGCTGTGTGTGCCTACCACATCTTTAAACTGAATTGTTTTAACAATGTTTTCTACATGTAATTAACAACAACACTACGTTGTTTAGACTCCTGTCGGCACCATGACTTCCTTGTTGTGAGAGATACCACATCGAATTTCATGGTCGAACAGGACGCGGGAAGACCCATCCGGAAAATTTCTTGGCTGCGATATGTGATGTCTATGGACCGGGAAAAACACAGTCATTCTAACTGGCTAAAAGGTATACAGGACGAGCTTACGTTAATTTCTCAAGTTGGCTGAAGTTGTTGGGTGTTCTCCACGCGGCGTTTGGATTCTCTCTTGATCTTTCCTTTGTCCTATCCTTCTGTCCTTCGTTATGATCTTGGCGTACTTCCAGGCGACGTCATTCCATCATATTCTCTTCCCCTTTCATCTCTCCTTTCCAAAATTAAGTTCTTCATGTTTCAGTCTGACTTTGACATTTGTTCGTTTTTCCTCTCTGGTAAAAAGGCTATTTCTCCGTGGTTTTTGTTCATATGTATAGGAGTAGTATTGGATGTAGGCCTTTTCCCGAAGTTTCATGTTGAGATATTTTAATTTCCTTTGAAAACCCCTCTCATTCGATAGGCATTATACATGGCTCTAGTTTTAATTTGCCTATGCAAGCAAAGTTATCTCTCTATCACAATTTCTATCCTTATCTCAGCTGACAGCGCCGCGCTATCCTCTTCAGTGAAATAATCGACCTTGGGGTTTACGTTTAAAAACCTTCCCTTTCAGTGCCGGGAGGTTTCAAATTAATGTCTTTTTTGAAACAGTGCGGTTTAATATTTGAACGAAAAGATATATAATTGGAAGAACATTAGGAAGAAGAAAAAGCAAATGACGGTCCGAAGGACATGAACCAGAGTGGCTGGTCAAGCAAAAGTGCTAGTTATGTGGCAAAAAGGGCCACCTTAGAGTAGCACGTCCAAAGAAAATTAAAAAGGATGACCAGTAGTAAAGTCTGCATGGTACCACACTTGTAGATCACTAGAAAAGTGCTTGGTAATTTATCTGTTAAGAGCCTTGATGGTTTTCAATTCTACGAATCCATATCTTCTGAAAACTCAAGTAACTGTCATCCCAAATTTTAAAAACAAAGAAGAGCCTTGTGGTTCAATGCTCGTAAGGGGAAATCAATGGAAGCAACTGGCAGAGACACCTCAGCCTTGGATGGAACATGGGAAGAAGGCCATGATTGATTGATTACTGGGCAAGAATGATTTATGTTATGATTTACATCGTATGACTAAAGAAACCAATGAATGATATTTGCAATGTTATAAGGGTCTACCAATTAGTACAGTAATCTTGTCACCTACCTAAATGTTTTTAAGGCAAAAATACAGATAATTTAATTATAAGAGAAACTGCCAGGGTTCTTCACCAGATGAATCATAGACTTTAATGGAAAAGGAAAACAGTCCTGGAGATTAAATTTCCTTTCATGGGATTCAGTTCCTCACCAAAATGTGTGTGTCCACCACATCCCGCAAATCATGTTGGAAAAAGTTCTGCACATCCAATCAAGGACGTCACTATGTTGTTTGGACTCCCGTTGGTACCAAAGTTTTTCTTGTTGAGAGAGATGGCAGTTACATAGAATTGCTTTTAAATTACCTCTACAAATTGATTCATTTTGTCCATGTTTGTGTTGCTTTCTGGCATCTCATCGTGGTCATTATCCTACTTTGTCACTATTTGGTTCTTATATACGTTCATTTTCACATTTCCCATGTCATTTCATGATCGAGTCATGGGGATGGTCACTGTCGACTCTTAGCTGGAGTGACTTCCTTAAATCAAGAGTTTTTCAGAATTCACTTTACACGGCCTAGGAACATCGCAAAATCGCTAAAATACTGTTGTCCAATCTGCTTGATGT